AACCCCAAACAATAATGCAGCCCCAGCTTTGCAAGTTTCTTGCCTCTTAGAATTTGTTTTTTTCTTGTGTACTTGTCTATCTGTTTCAGTCTTTCTGCTGGCTTGCAGTTACCCCGCTGCAGTATTTTTCCTGTTGCAGGCCTAGGAGTAGCATAATTTATTCAGAGTAAAGATGCTAACGAAGGCTGAGAGGAGTGGCTAAGGTATGAGGTTTTAATGGTGAGCTGTTTTCTCACTCTTTCACTTCCTTCCAGAAACAATTTGGGCCAATCCTTTTCTTTTTCATAATGTTTATACATCATCCAGTTCACACAGGCCCCAACACAATATTTCACTCCAAGGGCCATATTTTAAAAAATGATGGTGATAAGCTGAAGTAATTGCAAAAAAACATGCAAGGAGAAGAAAACTGTGAGCAGAGCTATGATTACCAACTGAAGGGGGGCAGCAGAATTTCCCATGCTTGAAATCTTTTAATTAAGATTGGAGGTTGAAATCTGCAGAGCCCTTATGTTATATAGGAGAGAACAACACTCAGAACTATAGTACAAAGGTGGTAAGGAAAGTACTTTAGGTTTTTAAAACCAAAACCTACCATTATGTTCATTCTTCTGCTTCACCATTGTTCTTCCTCCCTCATATCTGGGACATCTACATGACCTAGGGTTAGTCATTCAGAAAAAAGATTTAAGGAAAATAAGTCACTGTCTGAGCAATAGAGCCATGAGACCTGGTCTCATATATTAGTACAGATATTTCTGTAGTTATTCACTTGCTTTCCTCATTCCACATCTTGCTGTCCCATTGTTCTGCTCCAGCACCTTCTAGACGCAATCCTGAAGACATCACTGGATTTAGCATTGTGGACTTCTGGGCAGATAAGCAGGACTGTCTTCAGGTATATGGATAAGAAAGTAGAGGCACAAACTGACTACAAGTTTTGCCCAAAGTTACATGAGAAATCTCTGTGAAGAGAGGAGTTCATACCTTAGGACCTCATTCTCTGCCTTCTGAATTCTTATTGTGGTACTGGCTGGCCATGACTTTCCATATCCCGAGATGTTTCTGATGCCGAGATAAGGTGGATAGAGATTCCCCATGGGAGGTTCATGCTCCTAGTTATGCAGACCAGGCACTTAGGAAACTACACTCCCAATATCCAGAAGTGACTTGGGTACATCTCCTTCTGGGGCATCTGTAAAGCGCTGTAGAAGGTACTCTATAAATTTCAACAGCCTTTCCACTGATAGACAACCCCTCTAAAAGGGTACAGAAATGGATACCTCAGATGCCATCCATCCAGATCTCTAGGCCTTAAGGGAAATTTGGGAGCAGACAGGTATCAGACAAGCTGAAGCCAGAGTTTTGGTGACCTTGTGCTGCACTAAAAACAAAGTGGTTAAAATGCTCTTAAGTCAACATCCCCATAAGGTATTAGTCTCCATTAACCTCCTGTTGCCAGATGACTTTCCAGAAGATCTCTTCAAGTTATAACGAGCTGCTTGTCTCCTGCTACCAGAACCACCCAGAGAGGAATGAGGCGACCTGACAAATATACTGCACTTCCCTGTTATCTTTGCTAAGTCTCTTGCATTTTTATATGGCACCTTAATAACCCCTCATTTCCATTACAAGTGCATGCTTTCCTTCTGCTTATCTGTATCTTTATACACTCCTTCTCCATTCCTGCAGCCACACTGCCTCCGGCTACAACCTAGGGAGCACTCCAGAGCTCAACAGGGTCAGGTCTGCTTAGTAATCAGAGGACAGTCCCATAGCTTAGTCCGTGGCAGGACGTGATTCAGGCGATGACGCTCTTCCATCTACGTCAATATTGAACTCGATGCCGTAAGTTAAGGGTAGGAGATGCAAACCCAGTGCCCTAATTTCATGAAGTCATTAAGAGATCGCAGGCAACTTTCTCAAGAGACAAACTCCTAACCTCGGTGCCGCGGGCCAGATTTCAGCTTCACTCTGCCCTCCTACATTCCCCAGGTAGTTACGATCAGATACAGCGCTATTTGCTTCCTGTTGTGTGCTGTTAAGTGGTGGCTACACTCCACCCCAGGGGTGGCTGCATTTCAAAAGGGGAGTGATTGCTGCATATAGAGGCTGTAAAAGCCATTGGGCTCTTTCTGGGAAGAGGAGCGCCAAGTATAATCGGTGCTTCTTAAGGGAAAAATCGTATCAAAATCCTCCTGGAGCTGACGGCTGTCCCTGTGGGCTAACACCAGTGGAGAATTTAAGTAACGGATGAGGGATTTAGGGAGAAATTGGTTACCTGTATCCCAATCCTCTGTAATCCTCTGTTCAGCTGTTACCTATGAGCACTCACCTTCTGCAGATGCTCTGGCCAAGTACCCCAGAGCTCCCTGGAGCAGAAACTCCTCTGCTGTGGACTCATCCTGGGTTCTGCTGAAACCCTGGGGAATCCTAAGACAGGGCCACCCCTCTGATGCACACACAGCACATGGTTTAGTGCAAAAATCTGCTTTCTTTTTGTTCACAGCATGGCAAGCCACTGACCTTGGCAAACATGAGTCTGGTGGATACAACACCTACCCAAGGAGCATGGTCTCAGGTTTGGCCTCCTGAGGGGAGGATACACCAGTGATGGGAGCAAATCTACGCAAGCAGTGTGGGCTACCAACCACAGCTATCGAGTAGAACAGGGAAAGAAGAGAAAGAAGCATTGCCTTCCTCCATGGTTCATATCAAAGTACCATGTCAAAGCACTCTGATTTCCTCTCTATCCTCTATATCTTCCACCTCCCTACAGAGGGCAAAGGGATTCATCCCACTGTCTTATCTGACTGGTTTCTATGAGCTTTTACAGTCCACTGATCACAGACATCCTTGGAGAACAGCATACCAAGCCCCCACCACAGAGGCTTAGCCTGTGGATCCCACCTGTGCGAGAGCAAGGTGCCGAGTCCTCAGTCCTTTTAGAACTGGGACACATCTGGTCATGCTCAAAAGCTGAGCTTTTAGGCAGGTCAGGAATTGTATGGTCACCAGTTGTGGGAAGTCAGCAGCTTGAGAAGTGTATGGTTACCAGTTGCGGGTTCCTCCAGGCTGGTCAGATGCTTAGCAAGGTTTTTTGAAATCACGTTGTGGAACTGAGGATTCCTACATTTTCCTTTTTTGGTTCTAGCCATTAGTGACTTGCTAACCTCACCATACGCATTGACATTGTGTTCCAGGACATTGCTCATACCTTCGGCTTGTAAGTTCATGCACATTATTTGATTTGCATATTGTTGTATTTGGTAGTCTTCCCAAAATTAAGCTGTGCTGCACAAGTTCTAGCTTAAACCTTCAATCCAGCCTGGACTGCTCTGCAAGCACGCAGTTTTGATTTCTCCCCAAGAAAAATGTCGGCTTTTTGGCTTGGCATATTAAACTCACCTCATATTAGTAAAAGCATCTAGAAGATTAAGCCAAAATGCCCAGGGAAAGCCAAGATCAGCAAAATATAGTGCAGAGAAGGTTCAAGTGGATTTGTGGAGGCACCTCATGAGTTGATGTAAAGCTGAGTTTAAGTAAGTGAAGTTTCATCACCTGAAAAACTAACCCTCTGCCTTCATGGCTCCATTTGAATTTCAACCCTGTTCTAGCTCCATCACCAAAAGGCTTCAGAGACAACATGCTTTTTTAGCTAAATGATCTATGTACAAAAGAGGAGTTTGTGAGGGGAAGAGGAAAGGAGGTTCCAAGAATGCAGGCTACCAGAATCACTCTGTCTTCTTAGAGATGCCTCAAAGGGTTGAGACTAGGCCTTTCCATAAAAATGCCATTTGTCTGAAGCCGAAAAGCACTACCATGGTGTTTTCTAAACTCTGAACTCTGGAGTCACTTCTAGTGAATGAAGAAACAGGACGAGACTGAAACTGAAAACAAAAACCTGATGCTTCATATATTTCCCATCTGCAAAGTGTTTTCAAAGATTTAAGTTTTATTTCAACACGGTGTAGAAAAAAAGCACAGGAAACCAGGAAAGTTACAGTAACACTGAGCTGTCCTTCGCCATCCAGGCTGAGCTAGGATGAAAGATCGTGAAAGAGGATCTCCACAGAGATCATGCTTCCTCATTCCCTAATGAGAGGGGATCAGAATGCTGATCCTAACCCATATTCTGAGATAATGGACAGAAAAGCAAAACTCACTGCCAGTCCCCTCTGCAGGGACCTTAATTGGGCAAGTAAGCAAAGCACTGAATAGATACAAGAAGCCCTGGGTTGAACATTGAGTCATACAATCTAGGAAAAAGAAGATGGCTTCAGGATGGATGATTGAGTCAGGATTTATCTTACGGAGTGCAAACCAGGGAGTGTCTGGCCATCCTAACATTTTCCCACCATCCCGCCAGCAGCAGCTATCCCATTCAAGGACAAGAGCTTTGACTGGTGCCAGTGACACAACCAAGGGTAGATACTAGTGTTCACTGGAGATCTTCACTTTCCAAATTATATGGATGCAGATGAGTTTCTGTTACCCGAATTAAAGACTTCAGCTCTGGGAATGGTCAAGCGGTGCACTTTAGGCAAATGTAGATGCTGCCTCCTGCCTGGATGGAAGAAGCCCCTAAAGTTACCCAGAACTGTTAACCTCTGACTCTCTCTGCAAGATGCAGAGAACTCAGCATCATTCTGATTTTACTATATTATTTCTGAATGGCTTGGTAAAAACAGGGCAAAGTCCTGATTATCTGCAAAGTCCCATGTACCGTAAAACCATAGGCCCTCTGAAACTCAGCTCTCCACTATTTTTTGTTTTGCCATGGTCCTCTCCTAAGACCTTAGTCAAAACTTTTGGCTGACTTCAGTGAGCTTAAATCAAGACTATTTCCTAGTGTAATAAAATATCCCTGGAGTGAGTAGAAGACCGTAAGGAGGAGGACTCTCGGCCTGCTGCCATGTCCTTGAGACAAGGTATTCAGTGTTGATTGTGGCCACACATGGTCCCTTACCTAACAAATATTCATGGTTTCTCTTTCACAGCTACCAGGGAATCAGCCTTTGTCCATGCCATTGCCTCTGCTGGAGTAGCTTTCGCAGTGACCAGATCCTGTGCCGAAGGCTCGGCCACCATCTGCGGCTGTGACACTCGCCATAAAGGCTCTCCTGGAGAAGGCTGGAAATGGGGAGGCTGCAGCGAGGACGTGGAGTTTGGGAGCATGGTGTCTCGGGAGTTTGCTGATGCCCGGGAGAACAGACCAGACGCTCGGTCAGCCATGAACAGGCACAACAATGAAGCTGGAAGGACCGTAAGGCCGTTTAGTTTTACCTTACTTGACCTGCCCTTAAACATTTTCCACCTACTACTTTAGAAATCCATAATGAACAGCTGGAGGGACCTGAAGGGAATAACCAAACCTAAATATGAACTGTTTTCCATCACAAAACAATGTTATGTGCCCTATGATAGCTCTTGACGTGGTCATGATCAGTGGTTCTTTGTTACTGATCTAAGGAACCTAAAAGTAAATGCAAACAAAAAGCCTCCGAGTCAGTTGCCCATCCCCTTTTATAGTGATTGCATCAAAAAGACGTATTTCATCCTACCTTAAAGAAGAAATTTTAAATAGGTCAGTTGAATGAAGTCCTAATCTTGCCCCTCGGCGGTAGAAGGGGGTGCGTAAAACAGACAGAGATGTCTGTGCTGTAGACACCTGAGGTTAAAACAGATGAACTGGAGTTTATGGGCAGGATTCAGCAACTTAAATACAGGTATTTAGTTTAATGTGCGGTATCCTAAAGGATCCAACCTGCCCTCCAGCTGCTACTGTGAAAGTCAATGGATCTCCTGTAGGTCCTCTACCGTCCCTTGAGATTGAAGGTGAGAAAGAGCAGGAGAATATTTCCAACTCCTCTTCTTCACACTGTTCCCAGCATGTATTTAAAGAACATGAGAGGAAATGTGATTCTGATGTCTTCTGTTTAAGTCTTGCCCAGATCAGTCACTGCCTCATAAGGAAGGGAATCTTTTCTGTAAGATGAGACAATCCCCATAACAGAGCTGAATTTGATTTTTTCGTCACAAGAGTAGTCCATAAATGTCAGAAAACCATGTCTTTTGGGAAACACTTGTTAAATTCAGTCACAAAACCCTTACTAATGAAGATCATGCTGTAGTTCCTATGAGATAATAGGGTTTTTTTTCTCCATTGATAAACTAAAGATAATTTTATCCCTCAGTGAAAGAAAAGAATCTCCTTAAAATCAACAGAGATTAATATGGGCTAATTCTCTTGGGAGAATCTCCTTCAGTACATGTATAGGAGGACACACAACTGTGCAGTGAGCCATAGCAAAGCCACCACAGTTGCACTGTTGGGAGACCACTGTCCACGGACAGGCTAGGACATGAGCTCCTCAGATGGACATGGCCAAAACCCTGAAGAATTTGCCCCCCTCACACCTCTGGAGAGCTGGTCTGAAAGGGGACCAACCTTTCAAATAAAAAACACCAGAACAAGTGTCCACTGTGAAGATGAATATGAGAAATAAACTGATTTCCCAAAACACTGGCCCACGTTGCCCCAGGTCCCACAAGGCATTGTGTATTTCCAATGGCAGTTACTGGGCAAGACTGCTGAGAACAGGAGGACTGTGGGGAAGCTGGATAGAGTGGAAATATGGATTTACCTTAGACTGAGAATTTCCAGAAAAAAAAAAAATCAAAATGCAAGTAAAGATCCCTAGGATTTCAGTCCTACAGAGGTCTTTTTACTGCATGTCTTTTCACTTGGCACTGAGTTATTTCTGGATATTTTACAAATGTCAAAGATTAAAGAGTAAATGTCACAGCATTGTCTGAAATACTACTGTTTTATAATATATTTTCCATTCTCCTCATGCCAGCGCTCATGGGGTAGGTGTTTCAGGCCTCCATGCTCTAATGTTTCCAGTGAAACCTGAGCCATAGGCAATGTTGCATATTAGTTCCCATATGAACTCAAATCCTACCACCAGGCCAGAAGCTTTGATTAAGTTCAGGATGATTATATGAACCAACCATTTTGTGGTTCTCTCTCATCTAATTACAACCTCTTTTGCGGTGTGTGATACTCCGTAAATAACACAGGAAAGCACCTGGTGAACAGCAAGGTGCTGATTCATGGCAAATCTTTTGGACTCAGGCTGGCACTAGTCTGTTCATGTACCCAGAAATTTGCTGATCAGTCTGAAACAGCAGATTATTGAGTAAGTTGCATAACGCTGTCTCCCACCTCAGCATACTGAATGCCAACCCTCTCTACAAAACTTTGGACTAATTTAACACAAGGTGAAAGCAAATAACCATCTCTTGGGATCAATAATTGTGTTTCTGTTTACGCTGAGACAGAACTTTGAATTTTAAGATCAAAAGTGGGACTTCTATTTTTCCTTTGAAATAGCTTTAGAAAAAACATAAATTTGGTTTAAAAATGAGAATATATTTCTTTTACCTATTTTAGACTTTGCCACCAGCAAGGCTAGAACTTTGCCTAAATAAGCATGAAAACATATGTCAAGGATGAAATACTACGCTAGATGATTAGGACAATTCTTTTTTCTTTGATTTGCAGTGGAATGGTGGTATATTCCATTTATCATAGTTTTGTCATTGTTTTAGCTGGGTTTTGTGTTATTTGCTTTTATGCCTAGATGTGCCTGAATTTCATTCTCGGTTTAAAATACTATAGTATCCACATGTGAGCATTGTTAAGATAAAAATTAATACAGAAATCACTTCAGATGCTTCAGTGAAAGCACTTTATAGATGCTTTAACCTGGGATGGGAGTGAGAAATAGTTACTGAAAACACCACCACTACTGAAGTTTATATCTGCCTCAGACCTAGAATCTGAGCAGTGCATTGGCTGAGGGATAAGGTGATTCTCATTCACAGGTATATGAACATCTGTAAAAACACCATAGCTCACTAGGAAATCTTTGCTAAATAGTAGAACTCAATGTATGTTTTGATTACAGGCTAATATCTTCCTTCTTCTTTGCCTGTCCTCTCCTCTTTTTCAGTCCATTATAGAGCTCATGCACCTTAAGTGCAAATGTCACGGCCTCTCAGGCAGCTGTGAAGTGAAGACCTGCTGGTGGTCTCAGCCGGACTTCAGGGTCATCGGTGACTATCTCAAGGACAAGTACGATAGCGCTTCCGAAATGGTAGTGGAAAAACACCGGGAATCCCGTGGCTGGGTTGAGACCCTCAGGCCCAAATACAACTTCTTCAAGGCTCCCACTGAGAAAGACCTGGTTTACTACGAGAACTCGCCAAACTTTTGTGAACCCAACCCTGAGACAGGTTCTTTCGGGACCCGTGACAGGATCTGTAACGTCACTTCCCATGGGATTGATGGATGCGACCTTTTGTGCTGCGGCCGCGGGCACAACACAAGGACTGAGAAACGGAAAGAGAAGTGCCACTGCATCTTCCACTGGTGCTGCTATGTTCGCTGCCAGGAGTGCATACGAGTCTATGACGTCCACACATGCAAATAAAGCAGGAGAAATCCTTCCCTGGGCTCCAAGTGGAGGAACAGATTTGAGCCTACTTCCTCTGAGGTTGCAGACGTGAGAGAAGTCTACTTTTTGATATTAAAGAATAATAAAATAAAAAAAAAAAAGGCTAAAACTGGTTGGATAGAATAGGTCTAATGACTTCTGGGCTATCCCAAGGTACATCTGGCAGCCATAAGGGTATGCCCCTATTATGCCTCCTGTAGGAGACAGCAGTTTCTTCAACTAGCTGATAATACACAGCTAGAAAGAAGAGTATCAGCAAGAGCATGGATTTGCTCTGCTGTCACCCACCTGAAGTGACTCGTGTGATTAAGTGTCCTTTGAAAGACTTGCATCTTCCTAAAATCAAATTCTCCTTTTCCCTCAGCTAGGGAGAGGTTATGTTGGACGACAGCACTAAGCTTTCTGAGATCTATCTACTTACCCAAATGGCCAGATTCTATGTATAATATGAGCAACAACAAGAGCAAAAGAAATACAAGCAGATAAATTAATGAATGGTTTTAAAATGCAAATCCTCCTTTGCTTTTGCCATAGAATCAGAGAAGTCTACAGATACATTATAGAGTTACAGAGTGGGCAGGCTCTCTGCATGAACTTCTTTAGCATAGTAGCTTCTGCCAGATTTGACGTAGGATGCCGTGACACCTGTAGACATGGAGGGAGAGAGAAGGAGAGGGAGAAAACTGCTGATTGTTTCCTACATGCGCCCTGTTGGCACATGGGTGATATGCACACTAAAGGAAAGGTCTGTGCCTGACATGTGAAGTGAAGAGGACTCAGCATATGCAATGAGAAGGAGACAGTCCCATCTTGACAGACATTGCTGCAGATGTGGCTCAGTAGGTGACTCAGCCAGTGAGGCTTCCTCTGAAACGTGCAGTGCAAAAGGAGTCTCCTGGGGCTGAATGCTCACTGTTGGAGTAGGATGCCTGGCTTCTTAGCATCCCAGCTCACACCAGCAAAGGAGGAAAGGGAAAGTGTCCACCCCTCCCGTCTTGTTGGAGAACACCATAAGTAACAGTGGAAAGTGTACTTAGTCCACTCCATCTGCTCTCCACGCCTCATGGAGGCCTCCCCACGTGCACTTAGCAAAACCTTTACATCACAAGTCGGCCAGGAAAATGACTTTGGAGGACTATTTGTCACCCATTAATTTACACGACTTTGAACCACCACCACAACCTGCAAGTTGGAACAGTTTCAAATTCTAACCAAGTTTGGATCCATATCCAATTTCTACAACCATTCCAGTCTACAAAAGCAACACAACACAAAAATACACAATCCAGACTCTGCAACAGCTCAGTTTGGATTCAAATACCAACTTTGCAGCGCAGCCACATCTGTGCTGTTCACCTCTGCCTCCATCCCTCTGCTGCCTGTAGCTCTATTTCTGATCAAGGCTTCCTTCAACTACATGGGTGTCCAAGCCTGAACCTTAGCCCATCTCCTTTGGTATTTACAGCACTGTAACTCTACTCTTTGCTTGAGTTACTCCTAAATGATACAGACATAAAGGAGTAGTAACTCAAGCACAGAATCTTAGCCTGTCCACCTCTGACACACTTGTCTCTTGCCCCCTTTTCCAGATCTACATCTTTGGATTCCCATCTTAGGAATCCAATTATCCCACCTGGGATAATGGATGGACAATTTTTTTTTCTCCCTTCAGTATTTGAAAGGAAATGTATAACTCCAGTAATCCATAGGAGTCTTTTTGTGGATGGCAAAGCAATGTGACCAGTGCTGTTGCTAACATCTGGACATTAGTGGAGAGAAATAAGAGTACTCTTCTCTCTTTGTCATCTTATTCCTTGGAACCGAAGGGAAGAACATGCAGAAGAGGCAGGGAGCAAACAGAACTTACTCCCATCAGCAAGAAAACAGGAGGAAATGATGCCTCCAAGGGTTGACTCTGAGTCACGGCGTCTCCCAGGACTACTCCTAGGCTGGTGCAGTTTATGCAGCATTATTTGTCTCAGGGCTGTGCCCAAGGGTGCAGGCAAGTTTTGCGTATTAATGGAGGCACTTCTAGCAACTCTCTACAAAACAGCTGCAGTGAAATGAGAGAAGAGATACAAAAGGGGAGGAAGGAGAGCAAAAGAGAGCAAGGGAGCAAAAGAAAGAAATGGGGAGAAAAACAACAGTATCTGTACATGTTTATTGTTACACACAATAAATAGCTATGCTCCAACTGATATAAAGTAGAGGATTACTAAAAACTGAGAGGATGAGAGGGTTCACAGCTATATATATTCACAGCTTGTAACACAGTCTTGGGAAAGGGGAAAACCTGGTATTCTGGCAAATAGAGAAGGAGGCTGCTGCAGGGAAATTGCAGAAAGAAAACACTGAAGAAGGCCACGTATGAGGTGAAAAGCATCAAGAAATTGCAAAAGATGAGACATTGGAAGATAAATCCAGTTTATTCAATATAACTTTATGCCAGCAGTTACAGTGCCACATGTTATATACATCCCAAGCATGGACTTCTGTCCCAACAGTATCCCAACAGTAAGGATGCAGATCATCATTGCAGGTTACATTCTCTATCAACTCATTGACTTGACCAGGATCACACCCACAACTAATTTTACCCTAGTACTTCTAACAAGCCTGTTTCATACTCCTCCTTTTACACCATACCAGTGAAGAAATGGTTTGAAGGGTTTGGTTTCCTTTCATGCAAGCTGAATTCTGGCCCCAACTCATTCCACAGCTCGCTAACATCAAAAAGTTCTTCTTTTGGACCAGCATCAGGGCCAACATCACTACAAGGTGAAGTTTTTTAGGAAGCACAAAACAAAAAAAAAAAGAAAAAGACAAAGCATTTGCTGAGCAATAGCTTATAAAGGTGAACAAACAGATTTTGACTGTGGTAGAGGAACTTGTTTCACTGGACTATGTCAAAGTTAGGCGTCTAGTCTAAGCTATTTATCTGTTGTCTTTTGTTTTTTTGTTTTTCTGCTAAGATCAACTGCAAGAAACAAACAGCTCCAGCAGATGATTCACCACAGGATGCATATCTCCCTGGATGTAATTCTGTGTCTCCTCTGACCTTAGCTGATGAGCTCATGCTAGATCTTGAACTTTTACATGGGTGCACTTGGATGATGTGAAGTCTACCATGAGTCAAGAAGGTGAAGCTTGAAACTGATCATCAGCTGAGATGGGCTGGAAGTTGTATTCCGTCGATGCTGGGATCAGATTTGAAACAACTCAGTGCGTGTGGACTTCCACCCCACTCAAGGGGTTTTTAATGAGGCCTATGCATATTTGTTGGTTTTATTATGTAATTAGTCATCTTCCATGATGATATATTGTGCGGGGCTGAGCAACTACTACTAAAAGCAATGAAAAATATCTTTGTGAACTCTGTTACTCACACCAAGTGCAACTGAGGGTCCTAGGCCTGTGTCTGATCTTCCCACCCATATGGAGGGTAAAAGGAGATCCTGGGAGAGGTCTGGGAGCAAAGGACTCCTGGGTGCACATGCGAGCCCTGAATTTGACTCCACTGCTTTGAACAAAGCACTTGGGGCATCACTAATTAATAAACATGAAATCAAGAAGTGTATGTGTAAAACTAGGATCCCACTCCAGTGCCTATTCTGTGAGTCTCATTTAAAGTTGCTACTACTGTGGCATCAAAGATGAAGTCAGTAATGAGGGAGCTGCTGTCTCTCCTTATATGCGATGACTAAGTGCAGTATCATTTAGAAGGTGATCCAAATCCTTTCTCTGCCTCAGATTCTCTAAATCTGTGAAAATGGTAGCACCTTTCTCACAGAGAGGACACCGTCTTTGCTTAGGATTTAACTCAAACATATAGACATCTAGTGGCATTTTAGGTGCCCTATAATATCCTTTTGGATCCAGCTACTGTTTCAGGGGCTTAGTGGTTTAGAGATTTTGTATCAGATATACTAAACTTGGGCAGATATGTCAGAGACTATAGGTTATCCAGAATGGCACAAGATACCTATACGTAGAAAGATGAATTGTCCACATCTGTCTGATAATGATTTGCTGTAAAAAAAAAAAAAAATCCTCCAGCTCAGTGTAACTGATCAATTCACCAGTCTTGACTAAAAGAAACACAAGATCATCCATTACTCATAAATGGGACCAAGTGTACTCAACCTTCAAGCCCTACAGCGCTCTCCCTTTGAGTCTTCAGTTGTCCTTAGGCAATACCAGGGAGAAAGGAGATGCTGTCATCCAGACAAGGAACATAAGTGTGAAAAGGAAAATAAGAAAGTAACATAATTTCTTTCCTTTTACATGCTGCTATACAACCCTTCCTTTAACTGTCTAATGAGTTTCATCATCATTTACACATCAGACCCCATTAAAGTCAGTGGAGTTATATGCAAGGGTTGAATTTGGGCTCATCTTTTTTCTTTCTATGAAAGAAATTGAAAGTTTAGGAGTTTGTTGTTGTTGTTTTGGTTTAGTTTTAGGACTGGGGGAGTTCTTTTTAAGATAAAATCATGGGCAGGAAAATGCATAACACTTTTTATTACTTGATCCCTAAAGTACCTCTTTCAACAGAGAATATTAAGCCAAGCACTGAAAGGCTTCTCCAAAGCATTCTGAAGTCCCCAGAACTGTCTTTACTCCTGACACTGGGCTTCGTGTGCAGAGTGACAACAGTCTGGATTGACTCTTGGAAGTAGACTGCAGTGACATCCACACCAGAAAAAGCAGCATCAAACAAATCTCTGTCACTGACAGCACCAACAACATCAGCTCTGCAGAAAGAAGGGCTACAGTTGTGCGTTGGAGGACTTCTTTGTTAACCTCTAAGAGCAATTTATTTTGGCACACTCTTTAAAATCTCTTTGGTGCTGCACAGATTGTTCAGATCTAGATATATTTATCAGCAGGTGTGTTGCATTTTGCCACAGAAATGTCCATTCAATTCGCATACAGAGAAAAGCTTACTTATCTTACCTGCTCTCAGTCACTTTTTTAGCTTCAAAGAGAGCTTTCAATGCTGACAGCCTGGGGCTTGGTGCTTCTGGGGATGTTCAGATTACAGCTTGAGTGCTCTGCAGGAACTGGGAGCCCTGTTTTTTGTGCCATGGAAATTACTCTGGGCTTCTCTTGATACCTTAATGATATACTCCAGGAAATAAAAACAGGCCACCAAAAGGCACTGAGTCCAAATGACCTGCAGACACCAGCCAGTGTGCCAGTTAAAACTGATAAGCAGAGCACCCCAGAGCTGAGGCTGCTGAGAAGGCAATGCTCTTCAGGAGTAAGGGAGACATGAGGTTCGCTGAGATCCTTCATCTATGTGGCCAGGTGGCTGTTTGTGGGAGAAGAAGGTGGGCTGGGTGGGAAGAAGATGCCCATTCTGCTCTGTTGATGTGCATTTCTCTCACATTTCTCTGTTGATGTGCCTTCCTCCAAACTAAATCTTGTCTCTAATAGTGAAGACTTCTTAGTACTGGAGAACATCTCTTCTAGATTTTCCTTCTTTTGCCAG